CTTCACGTACAAAGCGTCGTACAACATGTTCACCGGTTTCCACGCTGTCGGCAATATGGTCAACTACCCCAACCCCGACCTGTGCGACGCCATCGAGTCCTTTCCATCGACCACATTTCTCGATTGTAGCACGGTTCAAAACGTGTCGACGATCGACCTCACGAAAATGGTGCTGCCCAAGACGCTCGAAAATTTGTACTAGAAACACGTCTGTGGACGATAAGAACATTGATGGTGGGCTAGGTACTTTCGAAACATCCAGTCGATGTGGTTGAGCCAAATCACATCGCCGTGGCCGGCGCTCACCACGTTGTACGTTTGATGGATTCCTTCTTGTTTGCGACTTGACATTTTTGTGGAAATAGGAGTTTTATCAACTGCGGGCTCTACGGTGTCCCGACCACGTTTACGTTTCCGTCGGGCGTCAAAACGCTGTATGCATTCCTTGTTTCTGGCGCGCCAACGACTCATTCGAATGTAGAAACTGGAATTCCAACTATCTCTCACGGCTTCCGTCCGACATCCCCTCGAGCGTCCGTGTGCTGTACGTAGCAAGTCGGTACTTTCTCGTCGTCTCATGCCACGCGCTCTAGCGCGTTTGGGGCCAACTCGCTCAAGACGCTGGCAGGCATTCCGCCGTCGCCGACATTGCTGTACGGATTCGCCGCTTTTGATTGGTCGTTGGATTTTACATTCTGTTTGGTGTAGGAATTTCTACAACAACGAGCTGACCGAAGTGAGCAACATGGACTGGTCGACGGTCACCTTCGTGTACGTACTTGCTCTTGTGAAAACGCAGCGGAGGATGCAAACTGCTGATGCAGGCGTCTCGGCTTCAACCCGCTCGTGACCTTTGCCTTCGTCGAGCTCTCGACGCAGCTCGCCTTCTTGTACAAGATGGATATCGAACCCGCGACTCATGATTTTTGATGTAGCGAGATCAAAGACTGTCCGATCTCCAACTTTACCGTGACGCCACAGACGTACGCAGCCTTGAACGCGTTGAAGAAATGGGACGGCGATACCGACAACTACGCCGGGTTTGTCGTCACGCGCAGCATCTTGACGAGCTCGTCGGCCTGCTCGGCCATCAACGGACAGATTCGGTCGCTCTGGGCAACGTCGGCGTCGTACACGATCAGCGTCTGCGTCGCGAGTCCTGGTTGGTGGATATGTTTTCTCTCAACGTATCCACGCGGCGGTCGTAGGGGCTTCCAGTGACAAGCCGTCGAGTGCACCCGCACCCGTCACCAAGGCACCCGTCACCAAGGTGCCTAGCTCGTCCAGCGGGTCGCAGAAATCTGGCAATGACGAGGACCCGTCGTCTGGCGCCAGTAGGCACTTGGTTGCCTTTATAGGATCCGGCTTTGATCACTACCTTGCGTAGACACGGGCCTCATCGTCGGGCTCATCATTGGCGGTCTCGTCATTATCGTGCTCGTTGTCCTGCTCATCCGACGCCACCAGTCTGACAAGACGCCTCCAGTGACTGCCGAGTACCAGTACGCGCCGCCGACGACGCAGGCGTACGTGTACCAGCCGATGGAGGCCGAGCCCTACCAGTACCAGTCGCCCGAGCCACCGTTGTACGTGCCACCCAAGCAGCCCATGACGGCTCCGGCACCGAGCCAGTATGCGCCGACGTTCGTTGCGAGCAGTCACAGCTCCAACTACTCGATTCCGACCGGCGGCTCGGTACCGTTTGTCCCGCCTCGCACGTCGACAGGGGGCTCGGGCGGCCACGCTGCATCGAGCGGCGGTCTCCCAACAGCGACCTCGATCATGTCCGAGGGCGACATCTTCCTCGATGTCGCGCCGCTCCGGCCCCACAAGCTCGAGCTCGCAGATCTGACAGTCATTTCGGAGCGCCCGATCTCGTCCGGTGCATACGGCGAGGTGTGGCTCGGCCAGCACGGCAACCAAAAGGTTGCGATCAAGAAGCTCAAGGACCAGTCGCCCGCCAGCGTCTTCCAGTTCATCGAAGAGATCAAGCTGCTCTCCCGGTATATTTCTTGTCTCGATTTGGATGGACAAGTTGTCTTATGATGCCATGACACTGTAGCATGAACAGCGATTTTATCGTCAAGTTTGTTGGCGCGAGCTGGCGCCGTCCGATCGAAATGGAGTGCGTCGTCGAGTACATGGACCTCGGCGATCTGCGCAACTACCTCGCGACCAACTCGCCGGCGCAGTTTGGCTGGGACCAAAAGCTTAAGTCCATTGTGAGCATCGTCCGCGGACTCGTCTACCTCCACACGTTCAGCCCGCCAATCATCCACCGCGACCTCAAGTCCCGCAACGTCCTCCTCGACTCGAAGAAGGTACAATCTCAGCTATCTTCTGGCACTACGAATGGCACTCTTATTCGTGTGACATGTAGGGCACCAAGCTCACCGACTTTGGCTCGTCGCGCGAGATTGACGAGTCGACGCTGACCAACGGCGTCGGCACCTACCAGTGGATGGCGCCCGAGATCATCATTGGCACCGAGTACACGGTCGCGGCCGACATTTACTCGTTCGGTACGTCGTTTTGAGGACTAGGGTTGGGTCGAGGGCTAGGTCTCTCATCTATATTGAGTAGGTGTGATTCTGTCCGAG